ATATTTCCCTGCCCTGGGCCCACAGTAGACACCAAATTCAGTGTAAAGCTGAAGTGTGTTGACAGGAAATAACAGTAGGTGGGGGGAGACGTATTGTTCCAGCGGAGCCACACTTGTTGTGATTCCTTCAGCATCTTTGTCCAGTGTCAGTTACATCCAAACATAAAACTTCTAGCACAAAATGTTTGGAGATTGATGTATCTGAGTAGCATTATTGAGCTTATCTGTAGTCATGGTTAATTCTAAAAGTGTGAAATCCCTTTGTCATTAAATTTATGACAGGCAGGAATCGAACTTGCGACTCCCGCTCCAGAGGCATGTAGTCCTACTACTACACTATCCAGCTATACATACACTGGTTTCATTAATTTTCTCTTTGTGACCTCACATCAGTCAAAAGGATTAACTCAGCAGGCATTAAACTATTTTACAAATCCTTTTGTATGGTCTTCTTTTTCTTACCTTTTATCAGCAACAAAAAATTTTGTGTAACCATAAAAGTGTGGAAACAGGAACTGAAAGGAAGGGGAAAAGGAGGCGGAGGGAGCATTTAAAACGTAAACTTTAAGGAACTGTAAAGATAAAACAAAACAGTTACTGGGACAGAAGATGTCCAACTCCCTAAATTATTTGTGAAGTACTTTTCTAACTTAAAACTTCTGTATCAGTTAGACATGTTTCAGGCGAGATGTGTTTGTTGAGAAAACTGCCTAAGATAACATTGTTGTCCCAGAATACATCTAAGGGATTTTGAAGGAAGTTGTTTGATTGCAACAAAAGGTGGAAGGAGGTGGGTGTAGGATAGGGGCTATAGAGACTGAACCTGTCACTCTATTGTTGTTGTTAGTGGAGAAGAAAACGCAGCGCTGCTTTTTATTTTTATTTATCTGATATTTCTTTTATTTCTGAAGTCAGCTTCTACATTTTCAAGGAACCGTTAAGTATCTCGTGTTTTAACTGTACTATATTTGCCTCATCTGCAAAATACATCAACTGTACCCTGTAATTAATTAAACCAGACATTATTTTTCACTTTTTAGGAATTGTTATTTCTCTAATAATAGATTAAAGGAGTTTTGCTTGTGGGCCAACCTGTCGCTGAGGTTTCTTACATTTTTGAGTAGTAAGATTGTTGTGTTATAGGTCTTAGTCCAAGCCCTGAAAGGAGCTTAAATAGGACAAAATCACAGAAAACAGCTGAACTCTGACATAAAAGCAGATGAACCACATGTGGAGAACTAGTGCAGTGTATAAAGTGCATACCTCTGATCTTAGAATTGTTATTTTGAGTTCAGAAATGTTTTCACACTGACAAATGTGCCAATATGAAGTGCTTGGATGGTATACTCACAGCTTTGAAACAGCTAATTGTGGATGGTGATCCTTCACAGTGAACATTTTATTATGCTTGTCTAATACGAGTAATGCTAGTGTTTGGAGACTGCAGCACGACCAAAATAATGTCGACATTTGTGCAATCCAGGCAGAAGAATTCAACCAGAACTTTATAGATTTGGAACAAATAGCGACAGTTGTTGCAGGGCGGCAATTTACTTGCAAAATGGCATAGGCACTCAGCAACCCCACTTTTGTATGGGAATATAACCAGAATACATCAAATTGAGTCACGTCCCCTCTATCAAAGAGATGCATTGCAGACAACTGCGTTCATCGGTGCAGACTCATTCAGATCAGTTGTAACTTGTTTGTAGTCAGCGGACAGCAATGGTTTCGATGTTGTGCCCAACACCAGGCAACTTGTGCAACTGGCTTGTGAATCAAAATGTTTTCTGCAGCTACTTGTAATTGTTTACCAAATACCAATAATCTTTATTTTTCTGCCTGTCACAAAGAAATTGCTATTCTACTTTTACTCTAGTGTGACCGAGCCATAAGGGAAGGACCCACCCTCTACCATTCAGCCACTAGCAGGAAGAGCTGTTGTTGGTGCAGGATAGAAAGCTAGCTAAAAGAAACGGCAGCAAATTTTAACCAGATATTGACACTGCATGTGTTAGCCAGTGTTTTCTTAATGTTAATTTGTTAATTTTTTGTTAATTAATGTGTGCTTTCAGAGGGTTGACACTGTAAACGTTTGCAAAATGCAACAGTAGATGCCAGGATCATGATGAAATGCTGTCATGATTTTGGTTGACATGACACTACCTTATCATAATTCACACACTACGCCGGTGAGTGCATAAAAATGTACATAATGCACTACATGAATGTTTAGTAATAGATCAAAGCAGTTGGAATCATAATAGTAATAGCTGAACACTTGAAGGTTTTGAAATTTCAGTTGAAGTACAAAACTGTGAAAGCATTTGAAATGTCAGGTGGAAATTAAATGCTGAAAGCAGATCGACTGTAAGTAATGAGTGCAGTTAAAAAAAAATCAGTTTATGTGGAAGTGGTGGGAATAGTCAGGATTTCAGTTAAGTGGGAGATTTTAAGTAGTTGCTATGGCAGTTTTTTTCTCAAATCATGCCCACTGAGTATTAGGACATTTTTGCTTCTGGTCACAATCAAAACAGATCTGATGATTACAATCAAACAGTGACTGAAAAAGTCCAACTACATATTGAACTGGATTTTTCAGGTCAAACCTGGTGCCGTTTTTCTCTCAGTATTCAAGCTGGAGAGAAATGTTGATGTAAAAGAAGGATGCCGTCATTAGGTAGAAAAGAACAAAAGGGACCAATCAGAGAGAAACGTCAGGAGCGGCCAAATCAACGGTTTAGTACATTCCTAAAACAAGGATGCAGTGATGATGCTCAGCAACAGCTCTGGAATTCTTTTCTCGGTGAAGAAAAACGTCCTCACAACATCTAGCCAAGTACAAAGCACTACTGTTTCACTGTGAAGGCCTATCAACAGGAAACACCTTTATGAATGTAAACAGAGGGTTTACATAAAGATCCAAACCAGTGGTCACACTGAAGCATGGTTACACTAAAGAAGTTTCCTGCTTCTAACCAGATGAGACGAGATTAACTGACAGTGAGTCCTCATGATCCAAAGCAAATTACATCACCTATAAAAATAATAATACTAATACCAAAATTATTTTTGATAATGTTAAAACATAGGGCTACCATTAGAAAACTATACAATGTATAGTATAGGCTCTGCTCTCACACACAGACAAATGCTGCTAAAGTGATAGGACAATATAGATGGAGAAAAACCCAAAACACAGATTTGTAAGCCGAAGAAAAAATAAGCTGTAAAATGAGAAAACAGTCACCAGCAAGTGAAGGCAGATGAATAAAAGGGGCAAATATTTAGTGATGGCTTCAATAATGCAGACTCTGAAAAATAAAATGGCTGTACTTTAACAGTTTGACATTTTCCTTAGACATCTTGAATTAAAAACTGAAAATCTGCTCTTCAGCCGCATTTTAGCTGCTGTCACTTACAGCAATAAAAATTTTCCCAGTAGTGACAGATAAACCATATTCATCTGTAATACACTCTGGCATGCTTCTTTCATGATGTCAAATATGATGCAAATAACAGAAAATGCATTTTTTTATTAAATAAACATTAAAGCATGCTTTTTTGCCCTTCTGGAATGGCATGGCAAACTAAAATCAATGTTTTCTTGATTTCAGTGCAAGATTGCACACTTGCTCTAACTGAAGGTCAAGTGAGTGACCTGAGAGTAAACCTGTGATAATACTTTGCTGCTTTGACTGTCTTGAGAACCTGACATTGTGTTTTTTTCCCTTGTAGCCTGAATTTATTCACTTGATTGCCGAAATGTGAGAAGGTAGAGTGCAAGAAGAGTTATGTCAAAGTGCTGAATAATACTTGGACCCAGATATCAGTTACTTGCCAGTTATTCCCTATAAAATTATTGTGCCGGTTGAGACGGCTGGAGGACGACTGTGACAGCAAGATAGCAATGGCTCTTTCTCCTTCATTGCACATCAACTGGAGGTTTTGCCAAGAAGGACAGCAGCCCTTACACTTCTGTCTCAGCTGCCCTGGTTGGCTTGCTGGGTACTTTGGGACCAGCAAAGAGGAAAGAAAAAGAGGGGAGGGGATTATGTGCAGTGTTTGTCCTTTGCTATCAGTCTCAGGTGCATTCAAATGGACAGTGATCCCCCCCCTATTTAAGTCCCTGGGAGAGATTAGTACATGTTCACGCGTACACATTGTGCCCTTCACTTTTTGCCCCCTACTTTTTTGGCATTACTACAGGAAGAGGGTCCTGCACTGTAGCTGCAGGCTGCAACAAAGATTACATTTGCATGCTACACTGTTTAAACCTTTGCATTGGTTCTTATTTAAGGTGTCAGTAAGATTAATGTGACTGGATCTGTGACATTTAAAGCACCATTTTTAAAATACCATTGAATGTCAATCATGTCAATAACGCATGCGTGTCCTATTTAAAGGGAAAGTGAAATCACTTCAAGCCATCATGCCGAAATTAGGATTCAGTTGACAGCAGGTAGAGTTAAATCATTTGGGGAGGATGATATTAAATCTTGCTTTGTTGGCCTGACACGCTAAAAAAGGTGTAATGGCCAAAGCCCATTAGTCATTTTCTGGTTGTGATTGCTGGAACGTTCCATAACCCTGAGACGTCCCCCTTTAATTAAATCTGTAATGAACTTCCTGCAAGAAAATCCTGAAAGAAATCTAAGCAGCAGATGACTCCAATTTTTTTATCTTGTTGTTGCTACCTGCTGTCGAAAATGAGCAAAAACAAAACGACTCAGTAAAGCAATAACGACAAGGCAACTGCGGTCGTTTTAAATGTACAAAGTTGCACAGTTTTTAATCAGTATTTGAAAATATTTAACAATGAAAGTTAAAATCAAACAGTAAGAATAAGTAATAACAATAATTAATATCAGCAATAACTAGACTTAAAATCAGAACTTTTTAGTTTTTTTTTCCCTTTTTTTTTACTGAAACACCTGAGGGAAGCAAATAAAAAGAGAACCCAGAAAAAAAATAATCACTGAAGTTTAAAAAAGAAAAAGACACAAAGTAGTTGAAAGAAAAACGTCAAGACAAGCTCATATGGGGTCACTCAAATCATCCGTTATATACAGCACATTCGCTCCACAACTGTGCGGAACAGCAGTGATGAAAAATGACGTCTCTGCAGCCTAACTGCCTTTAACATCGGTATTGGCAGCCATTTGGATTCACATGTAAAGGCAGAGTGAAGCAGAAGAAACTACAACAGAAACAGGAAAACCCATTTGGAGCTGGAGAGCAAATGTACTCGTTTCCTTTATGGTTCTTTTACAGTCACAGAACTGACATTACTGCGTTTGTCACTTTGATCAGAAAGGACAGAGAAAGCCCTGTCCTGATGGGAAAAACTGAATAAAATAACAGCACACTGTGGAAACACAACCCAACATCATTCTTTAAAAAAAATGGTCCCTGGATGCATAAGACACGACCACTTTCCTGATCACCTCTGAACTTTAGAAAATTCATTCGAACTTGTTTCCGTAAGAAACGTGACATCAACATCAGTTTAGAGGTGGACTTCAGAGTCAGATATCATGTTTGTACATTAGTCAATATTCAAACCTCACTGTAAATGTTTAACTTTCCACTAAATCTCACCAAAAACACATTAAAAGAGGGGAAAAAAGCAATGCAAAGAAACCTTTGGTCAAAGAGTGTGTACTCACAAAGGAAAACGAAACAAAAAGCACTGAGAGGATCTCAGGAAATCATTGATTACTGAAGATTAACGGAACAGCAAAACTAAGGAGCAAAACTTAAGTGGTTTTCTGTGTGTTTCTTTCTTTCCGACAATATGGCCCACGCTTCATCCCCCCCTCTCTCCCAGACATTTGGGTCTGCAAGTTAAACCGGTTTCCTCATAGAGGAAAGAAGGAAAGAAAAAAAGGTGCTCTTTTCATGAAAGTCATGTTTGTCTTGATTGTCCACAAAATAGAAGTGCCAGCAGGAAGTAACTCCGGCAAAAGGATTTACAATCACAGCGTAAAACGACAACATCCTTTACTGGAAAGGAATCGGGAGTCCGTAACACGCTCCTGAAAAGACTCGGAACCTGCACTGAATTGGGGTTTGCGATATTTATGTTTGTGTGTGTGTGCAGATGTCTTTAACTGTCCCAACTGTTCGTCGGTGTTCAGTCTCATTCAGAGACCGTCTTTTCCTGTGTTGCATCATCCTGCAGGCAGCTATTGCGGATGATAGGCAGCGGGTGGGCTTCTGTGTTAAAGACCCAGTCCTCCAAGGAGAGAAGGTCATCGTCAGAGAAGAGAAGGTACAGATACCTGAACACACAGGAAGAATGCCCATTTAATTCAGTCAATACTGGATAAACAGTTGTCTGTTTTCCAAGAAACAGCAGCTTGTTGGCAATAACTTATTTTTAAAAAACCAAAAATTATATTTTTTATTTATCAGGCAAATAAAATGAATTCACATTTGTATACCTGCATTTGAGTCGGTGCACTGCACTTCCCTGAGAAATTAAAAATTAATCATCGATAACGTTCCAACACTAAAACTTATTTTTTGTTCAGGAAGACAAAGTAAATGTCATCTCAACAAAATATAATGATATGCTTTACTATTTTTTTCTACTGCTTTGTAAAACAGTAACTGTTGCAGAAGCCTTACATTGGGTGGTGATCTAATAGATCAGTAAAGCACTGCACTGATAATCTCAGAGCTGATAGCAGATTTTGTTCAATTTGAGCAAAGCCAGCCCTTCTGTTTGTCTCTCCGAGTTAGCGTCACATTCCCTTCATGGACATTAGAGTGGAATCAGTCTTCTCATGTTATTCTTTGTAGTTTCCAAAATGATTAACCTGTTTTTATGTGATCCTTTGTTACCCTTATTGCAAGTACAAGAAAGTCAACAGTGCAGTACAAAGTGCAGTTAAAAATCTTCCAGTGCTAAATTATTACACCATTACCCTGGTTTGAATTGAAAGTCTCAGAGGGCCTTTAAGTTTACAATATAACCGTTTCTAACATTAAGATTTGAGCTGAAAAAAAGAAGAAAACAATCATGCTCGTTGTTAAATAACCCACATTATTTGGTGTCGATGAGACTCTTGATGAGCTACTGCAGGCACTGTAAACATACTAACTGCACCGGTATATTGCCATTATTATGTTAAAACAGTTTTTGACAATGCACTTTGTCCGACAGAACCTTAATGATTCCTTACGCACCCGAGGAAAACGGGTCTTTATCATCTGCTAGCTGCAGTACAACTTTGGATCCCGAATGGTTTACTTTGCCTAATGACCCAGGAATGAGGGGAGGTAAAATTTATTCATCCTACTGCACACCACCTATTTATCACCCTTTCTTATGCCTGCAAAAAAAAAAAGTGTGTCTCATTCACAGCATTCGTGTGCTTCATGGACGGAACAGGTAATGGGTTATGATGAATTCCCAACATCCTCTATTACTTTTAAACTGACAATAATTTATGCAAGTAGATTGTAAAATGCCGGTTCTTTCACCAGTGGGGATATAGAGAGGAAAAGGGGCTTACTTAAGTGTCTCTGAGAGGAAGAAGCTCTGCTGCATGTTATCATGGCTGACACTCGTGGTGTAAACATCGCGGATCCCAGAGAAGCCAGACTCCACTCTGCAGTGCTGCTCCAGGGCCTGGCAGGAGGCGGAGAAGAACATGGCATGTTTATTGTGGAAAAAAGGAAGGCCATCTCCAGTTTATCTCACAATGTGGCATTTCACAAAATCTACTTCAAACAAATCAGAGCATAGAAGTAAAACAATCAGTTATTCTTCCTCAAATGTTGGAGCAGGAGTAGAAAATCCTTTACTAACAACACTGTGTCCATGTGCACCTACAGACAGGCTAAGATTGAGCATGCCACGGTCTTCAGCCAGCTGCACAATTGAAGCTTAAGCAATGCTAAATCTGACAAGGGCTAATGGGGAGTGGCTGAGCTAGCCAAGCAGATTAGCTCATTATTACCCCTGCTACAAAGGGCTGCCTTATACGTGCTAATTAACAAAGACCCTGACGTGTTAATGCTTGATGTTCATGAAGAGAAGCGTCGTGCGCCGCTTTCAACCTTTGTGCCCGATAATTAAAGGCCCGTCAAACTCGTCAGCCTGATCTCTCCACTTCTGTGCGCACTAAATTAATGCTAAATCTTTCATGGCAGCCCTCTACAGTTTACTACAGTTAATGTCCTGTCTATTGCCACATTAATAATAGTGATCCCTGCACAACCTTCACCTCCTGCTAGTGGGATTGCTTGATCTACAAGGTAATGTATAGTGCCACACAATATCAAGGAAGGCAGTTCGGGGTAATTGAGGGTGTTAAAGGGGCTTGACATAATAGGCGAGTGCAATTTATAAAATGAAAATTCAAGCCAGTAATAAGACAGGATATAGGGGACAAAATTACACTGTGCAGTTTCTGACGCTTAAATAAACCATTAAATTATTTTTGTAGTGCACTGGCCTCATGTGTGCTTTGTAGTTCAGTTGTTTGGAACCAAAGAATAAATATGTCTCCATATCGACTTTTAAAGCCTAAAGACTCTCTTGGACTTGCATTTCCTCAGCTTTGAAAAGCTTCAAACACTAAAGATGACTAACTAACAACGCTGGGGATCACAAAAGTCATCAACAAACACCCATTTTTATTTTTTTTTAACCCCCCTCCTCAGCACTGGAACCACATCTTTTTATCAGCAGTCCTATAATATTGCTCAATATTAGCTATTTGCCAATTTGTCCTTTTTGAAATTTATAATGGCTGATAAAGAAAAGAAGCACCCTTCAACATTCTGAGTGTCAATGTTGCATAATTTGTCCACTAGAGGGCACTCTGCATGCGGCACATTTTTGGAATTTTTACTTTGTTTCCTAAGATTCCACCGACAAAATGCAGATCTAATTTATCTATCATTGTTTATTTTCTATCAGTTTTTAACTTGAAGATGTAAAACTGTCTCAGTTTTTTGAATTATTATTATGATTAAATTCCCTCTAATGACACCATTAGGTTTTGAGAAAATGATTGCTCACAATCCACATAACATTATAGCTACAGGCTAAAGGCAGATAAGTCCCATCCATCACTGTAGGGCAGATTTCACTGACTGACTGGCCATGTTGGACCCACGAGTGTCCGAGCAGGGTTTCCCCTCCTCACAACTGTTCACGTGATGAGGTCCCAGGGCAAAACAGTGTGCTGTTTATTTGCAGTTTATGCATCAAAAAATGTTCAATAGACACATTTTTTTGGACATATTGTAATTTTGAGAAATATTACAGAAAATGAAATTAATATAAACAAAAACTGGAAATACTGATAGTTTGGTTGTTGCTGATTGCTTTATCTTCATGTTTGGGGTCTCAAGAAGCTTTCCAAGGGGATTTTTTTGTAACTGCAACTTTACAGAAGGCATTTGAGTGCTACAATGGGAAGAACGGTATCAGGAAAGGTTTCTGATGTAAAACTCTGCCAAATCAAATATGATGAGCTACCTGCTGTGGTGAGCCCTTTGTGACTAAGGGAGCAGCTGAAAGCATTTGTTTTTTGAGTGTTAACAGCTCACTTAGGTGTTTTTGTAACGGCGTTGATACATTTGCCTCACTTGTAATGAGGGAACTGCACAGATTTAAACAATGAGACACAAACCCACCTACACATCTGTTTCATTCCCTACATTAGACTTTCTGATTGATTAGGCACATGTGTGTTACCATGGTTGCAAAATTATGCTATATAAATTCATGATTTTTATTGTTGCCTGGCAACTTCTCAAAGGCAGGAAATAGTCTGGCACATAGCCAGCTTCAATATGGAAAACCATCGCTTTTACAGTGTGATCTCGTATTCATACAGATAAGGAAAATATTAACGCTGAATTGATGATCCCACCTCAACAGCCTCCCAGCCCCACTCTCTGTACTTGGGGTCGTGGGTTAGCCTCCACATGTACATGTAGCTCTCAATTACTTCTGGTCGTAAGATGTAGTATCTGTCGCTCAGTCTGGTTGCCGTCGCCTCGGCTCCGCTGTCGAATCTGAACGCTTCAGGTCCCAGTTTAGTAGCTGATGAGACAAATACAAAGACAAGACGTGGGATGATTTTCCGCCAGTACAAATGAAAAGTTTTTCAACAGATCTGTGCTTGATTTTATAGTCTAAAATTGCTCAGAAAAGACGATGGAGTTCTTTCTTTGCTGTATATCACCTTCATACAGAATTCAGTCCTTATTCTCAGTTTAAAAAAGGCTTGAGGTTAAATTAAATGAGATCCTCACAGCTGGTCAGATGGTTCTGTAGGCTTTTCTTTATCTTCACTTTCATTATATCTCAACCACAATTCAAGACTACATAACAAAGAAATTCTATTTAAGAAACAGCACAAAGGAATCTGTTCTTTCTCAGGTCAGGAGAGGAGCATTGGCATAGCAACATCTTAAATTTAGAAACATTGCCTAACGTGCTTACTTTGCTCTATTTTTTTTCCTGCTATTCTGGCATATTTTAGAGGCCGTGTTGCTCTTTAGAAAACATGAATATGGTTGGAGAAAACAGGTTCTTTGACGTGTTGGAAGTGGCAGCATTCAATTGGTCTCAAAAAACTCCTCCATCTTGCTGTAAGACATTGCTGTGAGAGCAGCAACAGTAGGAGCAGAGCATTCTGGGCCATTATGGCTCATTAAAGTGTGCAACACATAAAAACATCAAAGTAATAAATGGTTTAATGTTCCACACAAACTTCACTAAAGGTCTGTCACTGTATAAAGAAAGAAGAAGACAACTTCAAACAAGAAATTCTTCAGTGTGTTATGACACCACCTGCTTGGGAAAAGGGAAGCAGAAGAATTAATAACTACATGCATGCTGCTGAATCACTATTTTCATTGGTAAAGCTTTCAAAGTCAACAGTGTGAGGAGAACTCCAGTGGATGCTACTCAATTAAAAAATAACGCAAACTGAAAGACAGACTCACTACTTCTCTAACCTATACTAAGCATAAATGAGCAAAATCAAGTCTGAAGTGATTTGAGTTGCACTGTAGCAGCAAAATAAAACCCCAAAAACACTTAAATGTAGATGTATAAATGATGATTGTCACCTCCCTAAAGTCTATATGAGGTTAAGCAGATGTGTGAAGTACAGTGCAGGTAGAAGTACAACACATTAAATCAATAAATCAATAAAAGAAACCTCTGATGCAAAACTTAACCAGAAGTAACATGAAGTCAAGCTGCTCACACTAAATCACAGCTGCACTGAGTGACAATCTTACTACACTTTCAAAGCATAAAG